GTGTTGCATTAATTTTTCACCAAGATCTTGCATTGATGACTAGACACTAGGCATGATGGGTGCATCACTTCACCTGCCTCTGTTCTTACCCTGATGTGCCCATCACTCTGGAACAGGCTAAATCTGGACTCATCAAACCACATGACCTTCTTCCATTGCTTCAGAGTCCAATCTTTATGGTCCCTAGCAAATTGAAGCTTTTTTCCCCACAGTTAGCCTCACTAATTGTTGGTTTTCTTAAGGCTACACTGCTGTTCAGTCCCAATTCCTTGAGTTCCCTACACATTTTGCATGTGGAAATGCTCTTACTTTCACTATTATTGCGCTGCTCAAGGTGGCTGCATGTTGGAGCAGCTCTGTTACTTTCATTCTGAGATTTTGCTTTTGGAAACTTTAATTCCTGGTTTTCTGGATGTAAATCACATTTTTTGGATGATTGTTTCCTCTGGTATCAGATGCTGCGCAGCTGGAAGGATTTTTACTGAAACCTTTTTTAGTTTTGGACATTTTGTTATGATGCGTAACCATTACAACAAGGCAGTTTTCTACAACAACAGCAGCTGATTTACATCTCAAAAGCTCAAATAATATCTCAACTACAGCCCCAAATCTCAAATGAGTTTAAAAGGATGTTCTGTGGATGCATTCTCATCTACCTGCCAGCTGTGCTTGAGTGCCTGACCACTGAGATCCAGGCACTAGCAGGAAACGTGGCTCATGACAGCGGAAGGACAGGAACGTCCCTCTGCACCTACAGTTGGCTGTCCGCGGTGACGAGGAGCTCAGCAGACTGCTGGGAGGAGTGGCCATCGCTCTGGGAGGAGTTCTGCCCGGCATTCAGGCGGTTCTACAGCCCGGGGGAACCGAGAGGCCAGCTGAGTCTGGGTGGACGGATCGGACGGCATCTGCAGACAGTTTCTTAGGATCCACTGTGAGATGGACTTTTACAAGAGATCCTTCCTGTCTACAGCCATCAGCATCTATAACATCTCTCAATGAAACGAGGATAACGAGTTACAGCAACAAATAATTTCCCTTTGGGATTAATAAAGTAATTTTGAATTTGAATTGAATGTGGCAGAATGAAATTTTGTACACAGAGTCCCAGTTACATCCAACAATAAAATGTAAAAGAAAAACAGTAAAAAGATCTAAGATATGAACTAAGAAAAACATCAACTAAATGTACACTAAGCACTAATGGCATAAAAACAATACACCGAACAGCAGCACGAACATGAGTCTCTGAGCAGATGAGCATGAATGAACACATCAACATGAAACGGATCAGCAGCAACATGATGTGAGTTTTCACAGTGATTTCTGGTTAGAGATTCATGAGTCTAACAGCCTCAGGGAAGAAGCTGTTCCTCAGTCTAGTGGTTCTGCACTTAATGCTCCTCAACCTCCTTCCTGAGGGGAGCGGGGCAAAAAGTGTGTGTGCTGGGTGAGTGAGGTCCTTCATGTGGGGCGGCTGTGGCTGAGTGGTTAGAGCAGTCGTCCTCCAATGCGAGAGTTGGGGGTTCGAATCCACCAGCAGTCACATGCTGAAGTGTCCCTGGGCAAGACACTGAACCCCTCATAGCCTCTGATGTGTGTCCCATCAGTGTATAAATGTGATAAAGCTCTGATTAGTCTCTTTAGAATGATTTGTTCAATTATCTTTGTAGAGATCTAGTAGAGTGTTGTATGAATGGGTAAATGAGGCACAGATTGTAGGGTAAAGAGCTTTGAGTGTCTTGAAATAAGATAGAAAGGCGCTATATAAGTACAGTCCATTTACCATTTACCCTTCATGATGCAGGTGGCCCTCTTCCTGCATCTGGAGGTGTAAATGTCTGTGATGGTGTGGAGGCTCACTCCAACATCTTCTGTGCAGCCTTCACCACTCTGCAAAGCCTTTCTTTCTGCAGCTGTGCAACCTCCATGCCACACATTGATGCTGGAGAACAGGATGCTCTCCACTGCACACCTGTAGAAGGAGGTGAGGACTGAGCTTCCCAGTCCAGCTCATCTCAGCCGCCTCAGGAAGTAGTGTCTCTGATGAGCTTTCTTGATCAGGCTGGTGGTGTTGTTGCTCCAGCTGAGGTTGTCTTTCAGGTGTACACCCAAGTACTTGTAGCTGGAGACCACTTTCATCGCAGATCCTCTTATGTTCGGGGGGTGTGTGTGTGTAGGTGTGTTCATTCCTTCTGAAGTCCACGACCATCTCCTTCGTCTTCTTCACATTGATGTGAAGGTTATTCTCTTTGCACCAGCTCTCCAGCTGTTCCACCTCCTGCCTGTAGCTGGACTTATCATTGTTTGTGATGCGTCCAACAACCGCTGTATAATCTGCAAACTTTACAACATGACAGCCTGGATTGGTAGCTGCACAATCATACATGAGCAGAGTAAACAGGAGAGGGCTCAGCACACATCGCTGAGGGGAGCCAGTGCTGAGGGTTATGGTGGAGGAGGAGAAGTTGTGGATCCTCACTACCGTGGTCTGTTTGTTAAGAAGTTTATTTTAATAATGCGTTGGACAGTACTTAACACAATTTTAATAGTTTCTGTAATCACTTAGATATTTTCTCTGCTTGATGCCAATGATTTGACCTTTCTCAAACAGACTGACATCTTTTCCATGACCACGCGATGTGTCTTTCGACATGGTTGTTTAAGAAATGAGAAGCAACTCATTGCACCATTTGGGATAAATAACGTTGCCAGAAAGGTAATCGCCCATGCAGTAATTATCCAATAGGAGGTTCATACCTATTTGCTTAGTTAAATCCAGGTGGCGCTTTTTTTTTTTTTAAGTCAGCCTATAAGTCGTGTTTTTTTTTCTCCATAATTTGCATGCCCTGCAACTTATACACCGAAGCATTGTATTTTTATTTTTTTCCCCCATATTTATAAACCAATTTTTGGCTGAGATATGATCGTTTTCATTCATTCAGACTGAAAATATTGAACACTACCATTTTGAGCCACTGGATGGCAGTCGATCTATATGGCATGCCGTTGTGTCATGTAATAAATAAAAGTGGCTATTATTAACACAATCGGCTTGCCATAGCCTGCCACCTTGGTTCAGCTGTCTCGGAGCAACTGTCAAATCAGCTTCATTTCACTACGCTGCCCCAGCGAAATGCAGCTAATTTGACCATTAAAGTGCATTTATTAAGTAGAAGTTCAACTGAGACACACCTCTGCTATAATTTTGAGCAAACAAATAATTGTTTTTAAGTGGTTATCTTGTTAAATTCTTGTTAAAGTTCTCTCGTGCACGCTCCCACAGCCACCATTTGGCAGCCAATAGTTTTTTGGCACAACACCGACCCACATTTCTGGGTAGTCAGCGGTGACGCATAATAGTATAATAATAATAATAATAGATGTGACTTATACGGCGAAGCAACGTATTTATGGATTTTTCCAATTTATTAGACAAATTTGGACTGATGTGACTTATCGGGCGGTGCGACGTGTACGGCGGAAAATACGGTATCTGTGTGTGTACAAACCGGATTGCTAAAACGTTGGGACACTAAACAAATTGTGAATAAAAACTGAATGCAATGATGTGGAGATGGCAAATGTCAATATTTTATTCGTAATATAACATAGATGACAGATCAAAAGTTTAATCTTAGTAAATGTAACATTTTAAAGGAAAAATGTTGATTCAAAATTTCACAGTATCAACAAATCCCAAAAAAGTTGGGACAAGTAGCAATAAGTGGCTGGAAAAAGGATATTGAGCTATAACGAACAGCTGGAAGACCAATTAACACTAATTAGGTCAACTGACAACATGATTGGGTATAAAAAGAGCTTCTCAGAGTGTCAGTGTCTCTCAGAAGCCAAGATGGTAAGAGGATCACCAATTCCACCATTGTTGCGCAGAAAGATAGTGCAACAATACCAGAATGGTGTTACCCAGC